GGAGAATAGCCTGAACCCAGGAGGCAGAGGTTTCAGTGAGCCAAGATCACACCACTGCACTCCAGCCTGGGTGACAGAGTGAGACTTCATCTCAAAATAAAAAAGAATAGCAAGGGAGGACTTGGAAATAAGAGATGGTTGAAGGAAGATGATTATGTCAGGAATAACACGTTGGAAGAACATAGAGTGTCTTTAAATAGTGAATGGCTCTCTGTAGAATGGGAATTAGACTTTTGCTTTGTGGCTCTAAAGCAGTGATTCTCAAACTGTAGCTGCATCTCATTCCCCTGGAGGGCTGGTTAAAACACAGATTATTGCCAGGCGTGGTAGCCTGTAATGCCAACAGTTCCGGAGGCTAAGGCGGGCGGATCACTGGAGGTCAGGAGTTAGAGACCAGCCTGGACAATGTGATGAAAATCCATCTCTACCAAAATACAAAAGTTAGCCAGGTATGGTGGTGAGTGCCTGCAATCCCAGCTACTCAGGAGGCTGAGGCAAGAGAATCACTTGAACCCAGGAGGCAGAGGCTGAAGTGAGCCAAGATCACCCCACTGCACTCCAGCCTGGGCAATAGAGCAAGACTCTGTCTTGAAAAAACAAAACAAAAGCAAAAACAAAAACAAAAAAACCAGGTTACTGAGCTTCACCCCTAGAGTTTCTAATTCAGCCGGTCTGGGGCAAGACCAAGAGTGTGAATTTCTAACAATTTCCCCAGAAACGCTGCTGCTCGTGGTCCAGGGACATGCTTTGCCAGCCACTGTTCTAGTGCACAAAATGAGGACAGCAGTTTGTGCTGTTGTTAATAATAACAATAACCATCAGAATTTATTGGAAACCTGGTGCACCAGCTCCTGTGTTACATCCTGTCTACATTTTCTCACAGTAAGGGAGTTCTTATTCAACCCATATAAGAAAGGAGGAAACTGAGGCTTAGTTTCTCGGTGATCTCACAGCCTGGGCTAGATCCTCTGATTCCAAGCCTCGGCATGCTCCAGCTGAGGCCAGGTGGCTACCTGCAGGGATGCTGTAAGTGGAATCCCATTTCTGAGTGGGAGGTTGCACTAATTTCAGAGTCCTTCCAACTCTCAGACTAGCTTCAGCTAGCACTTTAAGCCTTAACACCTAGTAAGCACCAACTAAACACCAGACGCTAGGTAACACCTCCCCAGGTGTTTATGGCAACTGGTTTAACTCTAAGATGCTTCCAGGTCATCTTACCTCCTCCTGTCCCTCCCTTTCTTGGCACCTGTGTGACCACTCCCCTCATCCTCCAGGCAGGCTAGCACTAAGTAGCTCATGCGGATATTTGGTAAAGGAGGCCCTTTATACACACACCCGCCCTGCTGTTTGCATTCATGTGCCTTAGGATGGCTGGGCCATCCAGGTATAGTCCTTGGCACCAAACTATCTGCCATCCGCCCCAGGCCAACCTCAGACAGAACCTGCCAATCCACCCCCACACTCTGGCCAACAGGACAACCACAGAGGGAGTGACAAGACAAAATCCAGAGATGAGGGAGGGGTGGCTTCGTGACCCAGAATGACCAGAGGAACTGCAGGATGTGCTTAATGACCTTGAGCTGGAGACTTCTCTCTACTGCTCCTGCCTGGCCTCTGCAGAACCTGCAAAGCAGAGACCAGAAGGCCCTGGGGACAGAGGGCAGCCCCAGGTCACTAAGAGGATCCTGCTAAGCATGAAATCAAGCCTAAGTCCCAGTGACTCCCCACTCAGCTAACGAGAATTGGGTCTCTTTTCTTTATACCTTGTTTAAATATTTAAGGTTTTCAATTCTAACAGAAACAGTAACAAAAATAAAATGTACAGCAGGGTTTTATGCACTAAGGAATTTCTGCAGCTGTGATGCGTGTTAAAGGACAGTGGTAAGGGTATCTTGCTCTCATTTCACTCGTTACCTTCTCCTGTGTGTTTCCCCGCCATAGATTACCTATGGATGGTCCAAGATCTGTGGGTGATTTATTGCTTCTTAACTTTCAGGTATAAGCACAAGAGTTCAGCCAGGTGCAGTGGCTCATGCCTGTAATCCCAGGACTTTGGGAGGCTGAGATGGGCGGATCACCATGGGCCAACATGGTGAAACCCTGTCTCTATTAAAAATACAAAAATTAGCCAGGCATGGTGGCGCATGCCTGTAATCCCAGCTACTCAAAAGGCTGAAGCAAGAAAATTGCTTGAACCTGGGAGGCGGAGTTGAAGTGAGTTGAGATTGTGCCATTGTACTCCAGCCGGGGTGACAGAGTGAGACTCTGTCTCAAAAAAAAAAAAAAAAGAAGCACAAGAGTTTAGTGTAGTGCAAACACCTCTCACCAGGGAGTCAGAAATCCAGGCACCCAGTGATGAACCAACCCTGTGGTCCTTGCCTTGGAAGAGCGGTACTGAACAGAGAACCAGCACTAGGACAGGTTCAGAGCCCTAAGGACGGAGCCTAGGAAGGTCAGAAAAAGACTTCTGGAGAAGCAACCCTTTAGGCAATAAATAGATTTCAGTCTCCGAGAGTTTGAGAACCCTTTACTCCTACAGATCCTTTATTCCAATTAATGCAATATTTCCATATTTGGGAGTCTCAAATCACTTTCCATGGCTTGTGAGGGAGGGGGATAATTCCCTTCCAATTTATAAGGGGGCGAAATCAGAGAGGAGTTAAAGAAGCATCCAAGGTTTTGTCCTTCAAATTTAAGAATAAGCACAAGGTGGGGCAAAGGGAGGGATGGGGGGTAGGGGAAGGTTGGGGAGGGATAACATGGGGAGAAATGCCAGATATAGGTGACAGGGGATGGGCGCAGCAAACCACCTTGCCATGTATGTACCTATGCAACAATCCTACATGATCTGCACATGCACCCCAGCACCTAAAGTTCAAAAAAAAGAAGAATACAGCACAAGGTGCCCAACCAAGAAGGGTATTTGAATACACAGCACAAAGGAAAGACTGGATAGCCTCTGCCCTGGGGAACTTGTAATTGGGAGATAAGACATATACATATAAAACCGAAAGTAGTTGTGTAATTTTTGTACAAACAATTCACTTCACCAACTATTTATCCAGTACTTGCTAACTGCAAGGCATTCTTTTATGTGAGGCACGTGAGAAGGGTGGAGAGGGTGAGAACACAGGTAAATAAATATGCTCCCAGCCCTTAGGAACTCATGGTTTAACTGGCTTCTGTAAGGGGCTGGAGGAACAGTCCATAAAATGTAATACCTGGCCCTGTGAAGATGGGGTAGCAGTATAGGAATGGATGAGAGTCTTGCTGGAAATGAGAATTTAATAGAATTAATTCATCTGGGAAAGATGCCTAGAGGAGGTGGATAGTGTGTGATGCTGGAAAATAGAAAAGACAGAGAAAGAGATGAAAAAAGCAAAAATAAGCAAAATCTTTTCACACATAGACGCGTCTTTCAGACCCCACTCAGAAGTCACCTCTTCCATGAAGCCTTCCCAGGCAGAAATAGACACTGAGCTCTCCAGGCCCTCAAACCACCCCATTATAGAACATGCCTCACTGCTCTATAGTCAGCCTCCTGTCCCTGTGGGTTCTGCATCTGTAAATTCAACCAACTGTACATCAAAAATATTTGGAAAAAAATTCATCTGTACTGAACATATACAGACTTTTTTCTTGTCATTCCCTAAATACAGTGTAACAACTGTTTACACAGCATTTACATTGTATTCAGTATTACAAGTAATCCAGAGATGATTTAAAGTATACAGGCTGATAGATGGAGGTTATATGCAATTACTATGCCATTTTGCATCAGGGACTTGAGCATCTTCAGATATTGGTATCTACCTGGAGGTGCTTCTGGAACCAATCGCCGCACAGGATATGGGATATGGAGAGACGGCTGCACTTGTTTCTACATCTGCTTATCTCAACCCAAGGACCTTGTACAGTACCAGAACTATAAAGGGGCTGAGTATTATATTCATGGTGAAGTGCCTCCCTTTATTTTTACTTTACTATTATAGAGCCTGGCAAATGGAGAGCCCGAGACATCCTTTACTCCAGAGAGGGGCTAAGGGCCCTCTCCTTGTACCCGGGCTGTGGGGGTGGAGGAAACCCGAACCCCTCACCCTTTAAACCTAGGCGCTTAGTGTGAGGGAGATGGTAGATTTCTAGGGTTCTCCTTCTAAAGGCCAATGTGATTAACCTCTTGGGGTTCTAATGAAAGCCATGCACAACTACTTACCAAGGAAGAAATGTATGTACAACAAGATTTTGCCTTCTGTTCTGGGGGAAAGGGGGTTGCCGTTAGACCCTCAAAGTATTTTAACTTACACAAAAATGCACAAATCTTAAGTGTACAGCCCCATACATTTTTACATATATTTACACCTGTGTAACCACCAACTAGATCAAGCTTCAGAATGCTTCCAGTACCCCAGCACTGGGGGCTACCTCTCTATGCCAGGGTCATCGTCACTGCAGCTGGAGGAGCTGAGCCAGTAGGGTGCTGCAGTTGGGGAATGCCATTTAAGGAAATTATGGAAGGATTTCAGGTGTTTGGACTAGAGAAGCAAAATCACTGGGGCAAGGTCATTTGGGGTATGAAGGACTTACATGACAGAACAATTAGATTTCTTCTGTGTGGGGCCTTGGGGAGCAGTTACAGGGAGGAACATTTCAATGTAGCCTAAGGCCCTTTCTATAACCAGAGCTCATCCACACTGCAAGCAGATCTCCTGGAAATACGAAAGGTCCTCAGCACTAAAGGTGTCAGTCAAGAACAGGACTGGCAAACATTCAGCAGCAGGTATGGGGAGGTGATAGGGGACTCCATTGGAGGCTATTCCTTCCAACTCTGACCTTCTATGGTTCCTGGAGTTCTGTGAGTGACAGAGAAGACTCAGTCAAAAACTGGTGGTTATGATTTGTTTGGTGTTTTTTTACCCCCAAGAGGGTAGCTTTTTAGTTTATTACAATTACTGTGCAGGCCCCCCATCATCACTATTAAATAGGCACTTGTCATTACTCACAGAGTGGTGAGCCACGGGACTCCGGGACTTCCCCACTCTGGGGCTCACTGTCCAGGGAGGGACAGAGCAGAGGCAGGGGTGCCGCTGTGAGGTTGGACCAGTACCTGCAAGAGAAGTTGGTTGCCCCACCTCATGCCAAGTTGTTTCGGGGACACTTGCCCATGTACCTCCTCAGTTTTTTCAGCCCTGGTCCCCCTGGTGGGCCCGTGGACATGATGTCATGGCTCCTGTCACTAACAGAACATCTGGGCAGAGGTGGCACCACAGGGCCTTACTGTTCTGCCTCCAGGGGCCAGATCCTGGCTCCCTCAGGAGCGGTACCACTCAAAACCCACCAGCCAGCCCGAGGCCACCTGACGAGGGGACAGCCTAGGTCAGCTGCAGGTTCCTCGAACAATACCCAGTCTAGACACTAATCAACCCCCTACCCACTGCCAATGCTTTATCCCTCAAAGAAAGAATTTTCCCCAGAACTCTTTTATAAATGCTTTTTCTAGGAGATGATTTCAGAATTCCTCCCGGGGTTTCTCCAGGACACGGCCCTTCCCTCACTGCCCTCCTCCAACTAGTTAGAAAGAGAAACAGCACAGATCAGCGTCATCCTCCACCTCCCCGCACCTGGCCAGGGCTGGGATGGGATGAGGCTGGGACTCTCAGGCCCTCCCAGGGAGTTTAGTGTGGGAAGATGGCAAGTTTCTAGGGTTCTCCTTCTAAAGGGCAACGTGATTAGCCTCTTGGGGTTCTAATGAAAGCCACGCACGAATACTCTCCCGAGAAGAAACGTATGTACAACAAGATTTTGCCTTCTGTTCTGGGGGAAAGGGGTGCCGTTAGACCCTCGAGATCCATCTGTGAAGCGCCTGCGTTTCAAGCGTGAGGGGTCCGGGTTTCCTCCACCGCCACAGCCCGGGCGCGGGGAGGGGTCCCCTAGCCTCCCTCTGGAGGTACAGGACATCTCGGGCTCTCCATTTGCCGGGCTCTAAAATGGGCGCTCGCGCCCCTCGGTCCCTGGGGGCTGCATCCGGAGGCTGGTGGGGCGGGCAGGGGGCAGCACGGCTCCCGGTTGGTCTCCGCAGCCGGGGGAGGGCGAGCATGTGCGCTCGGGTGGGAGGGGGAGGCCGGCGCCTGGCACCGCACCGGGAAGGCGCGGGAGCGGACGCGCTGCCCACCCGCCGCAGAGGCGCCCCCGCCGCCGCCCGGGCCCGAGGGCGGGGCCCCTCGCCGGGGCGGCCCCTCCCCGCCCCTCCCTCCCGGCCACGGGCCTCCCCAGCCCGGCCGGCCCTCCCGCGGGCTGCACTCGGACACCGGGCTCGCCGGGATCAGAGCCGCGAGCCCGCCAGCCGGGACCATGGGCTGCGACGGCCGCGTGTCGGGGCTGCTCCGCCGCAACCTACAGCCCACGCTCACCTACTGGAGCGTCTTCTTCAGCTTCGGCCTGTGCATCGCCTTCCTGGGGCCCACGCTGCTGGACCTGCGCTGCCAGACGCACAGCTCGCTGCCCCAGATCTCCTGGGTCTTCTTCTCGCAGCAGCTCTGCCTCCTGCTGGGCAGCGCCCTCGGGGGCGTCTTCAAGAGGACGTGAGTGCCGCGCCCGTGCGCCCCCGCCCCGCGAGCCCTGGTGCCCACCAGCGCCCGGCCGACCCTTCCCTCCGCCCCGCGACCCGGCCTCGGCCCCAGCCCCTTGGGACTGCCCGTCGCCCCCGCCCCCCGGGCCGCGACCACCCCTCCCAGCTCCTCCGGCAGCGCCCCGCCTTGGCCGAAGAGCTGCCTCCCTCCCTCCCCGCAGCTCTCCCTGGGAAACTCTCTCCAGAGACTGAAGGTGACTTCTGGCTTATTTATTGGTCACCACTCATCCCTGTGAGAGGATAAAACCAGTTCCCACCTGCTTCCCCCACCCACCGCCCCGTGGGGAGAGGAGTGATGGAGTTTGCAGAGGTGTGGAGGGCGCCCCTCTTGCACAGCTCCTCTGGGGTTTGTCAGTAGCCCCAGCTGCCGGGGGCGGGATTGGAAGTGAGGTGGAAGGACCGTGTGAGGGCCAGCTCTGTGGCGGTGCAGCGTCCCAGAGGTGGCCTGCGGCTTGGCTGATTCCCAGGGCCGGGCTCCACCGTAGGCAGCTCCACATCGGCTAACACAGGCTGTCCCTTCCCCCGGGCAGCCAAGGGGTTGGTGGGTCCTGTGTAGCCCTCCTCCTGTGACAGCCAGAACATGGTTTCTGCGTTGGGCCCCGAGACACACAGCACCTCACCATTAAGGCCAGGTAGGGAGGGGCAGGACACTTCACCCATAGCTTGGTAAGGTGACACTCCAGCCCTGGTGCCAAGGTTCCCCTCCACTCCCCACCCACCTCATGCTACTCCTGCTTGGCCTCTGCCCCAGGACAGGGCTCTGGACTCTCCCTGGCACCACCCCCAGAGGTCCCCCTTTGATACCATTGCAGAGCCTCATTCTCTCTGCTTAAATTGGACAGAGCCACCTCTGGGGGCCTTTGGGGAGAGGCAGCAGGATTCACACTCCCAGTTCAGCGTGGAAAACAGAGACCCATCATAGAATAAGGAATAGATGACCTGTAAGCCAGAGAGCCTGCTGGGTGAGCCCCCAGCCCCAGCTCCTGGCTGAGTGGTTTCCCAGATCCCATGGACTCAATTGAGCAAGCAGCTGGCCTGGAGACAAAAACCACAGTTGGGCTACCCCAGAGAAACCTCTGGACAGGCCGTTCTGGGCTGTGGTCCTGCCCTTTGGCTCACTCAGGTGTTCATGAGGGCAGGTGTTTCCATCCACCTTGCTTCCAGAGCCGGCAGAGGGAGCACAGGTGTCAGTACAGATGAACCCCACTTTAAGCCACCCAGGCTTAAAAACATGGTCAATTTTGTAAGTGATTATCCCCATTTTCCCCAAATCCTCTTGTAAACCAAATTATTCTCCTTTTAAAAAGCGAGTCTCCTTGTGTACACCAGTGTTTTGTGGGTGTGGTACAGAATTGGAATATACAGGAGACTCAGAAAATCTTGAGAAAAAGCTCAAGATTCATTCTGCCTAGAGGTTTAATTAGAAACGAAGATAAAGTATCTGTAGGTAGCAGAGGTTTTTTTGGTTTTGTTTAAGTACTTTGACGTACAAAAGCTCCTTTACCTGGAACTTTTAAAGAACATATGTAGTGCAAAGAACAGGGAGGGGAATGAGGATAATTCGAAATGACAAGTTGGCAGGGCAGGGCAGGGCTTGAAGGGCTCTGAAGCCAGCAGAGATGCACACTCACCCAGCTGGGCCATCTCTTCCTGGGTAGCTTTGTGTCTCCCTCAGTGCTGCTTACCCAACACGGGGCTCTGAACAGGGAGCAGAGAGAGCCCTGCAGCAGGAACTGGTTCACAGAAAAGAAAAAGAATCATGGCAACAATGAAAACTCACTTTATTCTGCACTTGCTGTGTGCCAGGCACTATTCATGTATCAGCGCATTTAATCTTCACAGCCACCTTGCAAAGTAGTATTGTTATCTCCATTTTATGCATAAGGAAGTGGAGGCACAGAGAGGTTCAGGAACTCGGCCCACAGCACATGGTTGTTAAGAAGAGGCCCAGCCAGGAATCGAACTCAGGCGTTGTCTCTAAGACAGATACTTAGGCAATACCTCTTGCTTTGTGAATCATCATCGTAAACTCTGCAGATCAGGCACAGGTTTGGGATGAGTAGCCCTGAGGATGCTCATGGGCTGGGTATTCCTGAGCTCTGACAACTTCTGGGAACGCAACGGTGGGCCTCTGGGGCTTCCTGCTGGGATCTATGAGGTGGGGTACATCCTATCAGTGGTTGAGATTTAAATTCTGAACCTCCCACCCACCAAGACAAAATGCCATGAAGAACTCTTTCCTTTGGTTAAGAGCAAAGCAGATATACAGTAGAAACAGAAGAATGTCCAGGGGTGGCCTTGAGTGTAGGCGACAGTCCCCCACCATCTCACTGACTCTGGGCAGCTCTCATCACAGTCTCCCATCCCCCCAGACAGAACCTCCACCAGCCCTGCAACCAAGCTTCAAAGCTGGATTCCGTGGGACCATGTCTCAGCTAAAATGCAGTAGCCTCTCAAGCAAGTGCTTTGCAGCTTAAGTGATTACCAGCTCTGCTCTCGCTTGGTTGATACTTGTGAGTGGGGGATTGCTTTAGCGAATCTGTGAGAGCCAGCTGTTGCGGGGGAGTGGGGGAAAGTTGAGAATGACACATGGGAGAGGATAGTTGGGGGTAGTGTCTTTCTCATGGGTTCCTACTCAGGTCCTGCCTACTGCTGGGTCCAGACTGAGGGCACAGGCTGAGCGGGGCTTCTAGATGCCTCCATAGGGACGTGTGTTGGAAGGACTAGCATGGAAGGTGGAGAGCCTTGGATATTGGAGTGGGTGGAGGGGAAGACGTGAGCTCAGGGCAGCACCAGCTTGCTCACTCTCTCAGAGAAAAACAAAAAGCCACCTCATTGGCAATGGTGTGTAGGTATGTGCTTTGTCAGGCAGGAAAGGAGAAGGGGTATTTAGATTAAAGGTTAGGATTTTTCCTGGTTTCTTGGGGACCTGTCTAACCGCCCCAGGCAGTTGGGAGACCCCTTTATCTTGGAGGCGGCAGGGTAGGTAAACACTTTCAGAGCTTCCCCAGCCTTCACCCAGCCTCACCTTGGCCTCTCCCCTGCCCACGCTCTCTTAACAGAAGGTTTGTCAGAGGGTTTGTTGAGTTCTTCCTCTCTTTGCCCTATTCACTTTCTCTTTTTCTCCCTTTTTTCCCCTTAGATTCCTTGTACTCTGCAAGTCCTACCCTGCCCCAGAGCTAGCTATGACTCCCTCCTGGCCGCTGCATCATACAACAGTTTCCCAGGCCACCCCCAGACCTGCTGGTCGCTTCTAGTCCCTGGAACACAGCACAAACCAGCTTCTCCCCCTGAGCTGGGCTCTGGTTGGTCTCCCATCCACAAAGCCTCTACCTCTCCCTTGAGCACTTTGTCTACCTATCAGCATGCAATGAACCTGTGCCAAAAGCCTACTGGGAGTCCAGCACCAGACACTGTCCTTGTTTTAAAAATCGGCCCCAACATGGGGCTATTACGTGACCCCAACCCCCAGGTATGTACCCGAAAGAACTGAAAATGTATGTCCACATACTAAACCTGTATGTGAATGTTCCTAGCAGCATTATTCATCCCAGTCAAAAAGTAGAAACAAATAAACGTCCATCAACAGACAGATGGACAAACAAAAACATGGCCTATCCAGCCAGGTGTGGTGGTGCTTACCTGGTTGTCCCAGCTACGTGAGAGGCTGAAGTGGGAAGCTCACTCAAGCCCAGGAGTTCAAAGCCAACCTGGGCAGCATAGTGAGACTCTAGGGTCAAAACAAAACAAAAACGTGGTATATTGGATGGGTAGGCTGGCTCACTCCTGTAATCCCAGCACTTTGGGAGGCTGAGGCAGGTGGATCACCTGAGGTCAGGAGTTCAAGACCAGCCTGGCCAACATGGTGAAACCCTGTCTCTACTAAAAAAAAAAAAAAAATTAGCGGGGCATGGTGGCAGGCATCTGTAATCCCAGTGACTTGGGAGGCTGAGGTGGGAGAATCACTTTAACCCAGGAGACGGAGGTTGCAGTGCGCCGAGGTTGCGCCATCGCACTCCAGCCTGGGCAACAAGAACAAACATCTGTCTCAAGAAAAGAAAAAAAAAGTGGTATCCATGGAATGGAATATCACTCAGCCATAAAAAGGAATGAGATACTGACACATGCTGTACCACGGATGATCTGGAAAACATCACGCTAAGTGAAAGAAGGCAGACACAAGAGATCACATATTATATAATTTTATTTATGTAAAAGTCCAGAATAAGGAAATCTGCAGATATAGAAACTAAATTACTAGTTGCCTACGGCTAAGGGTAGGGTGTGGAGAGGAATGGAGAGTGACTATTAATGAATATAAGATTTATTTTTATTTATTTTTATTTTTTTGAGACATAGTCTTGCTCTGTTTCCCAGGCTGAAATGAGGTGGTGCGATCTTGGCTTGCTACAACCTTCACCTCCTGAGTTCAGGCAATTCTCAGGCCTCAGGCCTCCCAAGAAGCTAGGATTACAGGTGTGCACTACCATACCCAGCTAATTTTTGTATTTTTAGTAGAGACAGGTTTCACCATGTTGGCAAGGCTAGTCTTGAATTCTTGGCATCAAGCAATCCTCCTACCTCAGCCTCCCAAAGTGGTGGGATTATAGGTGTGAGCCACTGCACCTGGCCTGGATACAAGATTTCTTTTTGGGGTGACAGAAATGCTCTAAAGGTAGATTATAGTGATGCTTTTACAACTCCAAATATTCTAAAAACTATTGACTTGTATGCTTAAATATGTGAATTTTATAGTATGTAAATTATATATCAAATTTTTAAGTTAAAAAAATCTCAAAGCTAAGTTTGGTGCATCACACCTGTAATCCCAGCACTTTGGGAGGCCAAAGTGAGAGGATCACTTGAGGGCATGAGTTCAAGACCAGCCTGGGCAGCAAAGTGAAACCTTGTCTCTAAAAACTTTTTTAAATTAGCTGGGCATGGTGATGCACA